AAAAAAAAAAAAAAAAAAAAAAAAAAATAGCCATTGGAAGGCTGTAAGCAAGGAAGTAATAGGTCAGATTTGCAGTTGAAAATGATCCCTGAGTCTCGGTTTTCTTATCTATAAAATGAGGCTAAGAATAGTAAAAACAGGGAATTAAATGATAAAATGTCTGCAAACAGTGCCTGGCATACAGCTTATTACTCATGCAGCTAAGAAGCCCTTCCATTTGCGAGGCCTTGCTCTGTGACGGCTGTTTGGCAATCACATTCAGTTATAGCCAACTATTTACTTATGTAGCTCTCTCTGAAACTTAGAAATGAAATCATCGAGGAAAAAGGTCATGTCTTGATCCTGTCTGTGTTCCCTGTTCCCAGCATAAAGCCTAACACACATTAGGCTAACGTCACCGAGTAAAGAAAGCAACAAAGTGGCGAGTCGGGCCCCAAGCCCAGGATGGGAGATACCACGTTTGGCCACAAGAGGGCGCGTCGCGTTTTCTCCAAGAGAAGCGGGGCTGCCGGTGAAAGACGGGCTCCGGGCCCCCCAGGACACTTCACCTCCTGGGACCTTGCTCTAAGGAAGCCCAGTGCGAAGGAGGTGGCTTTCTCAGGTGGTCGCACTAGGTATCCAAGGCTTTATGTTCAGTCAGATGAGCTATATAATAAAAGTGTTAACAGGCACGTTGTATAGCTGCTGCCTCCACCGCCACTAGTCGTGACGGTTTTACTCTGGATGTTTTTCAATCGGAAAAGCAAACTCCGCCTTTTCCTGAGCCTCTCGGATCTTTGTGGAAGCGGGTGGGCTGCACATATATGGGACGGATTCGTATAGGCTTGCATCCCGGTTCCGAATTTTGCAAATATTCGCAGTCTGGGTCACTGTCATCCGGACTGGGAATCCACAAGACCCCTTAAGGGAGGACAGGTAAAGATCGTGACAGGTGAAACAGGTACCTTTGGGTTGCAGGAAATGAATCTGTTGAAAGCTACCTAGACAATTCTGGAAAGGAAGGATTAAGAGGAACCGGCTGGTGAAGGAGATGCGAGGGGGAAGCGAGGGAAAGGCAGGCGTGGAAGAGGAAGCGAAAGGGCTGTCGGGGCTCTGGGAAGGAAGGGGTTGATCCAGGCTTCGCCCAGGGGAGGAAAGGGAGGAGTGAACCCACGGGAGGTGGGATCTCGGCGCGGCCTCCCCAAAACAACAGGCCCTCCCGGCAAAAGGTGGGTTAAGTGGGCGGACCCGGAGGGAAGCCACGTGTCGGGACGGAAGGCTATTGGCTTTCCCGGAGTTGTTTGTGAGTGGCCATTGGCGACGTCGAGGCGCCGCGACGAGCCGATTGGCTGGGCCTTGGAGTGCCCGCCAGGACAAGGGTAGGGAGGAGGCGGCCGAACCGCGCAGCTGGGCCGGGCTGGGCCGAAGGGAGCGCAGACGAAGCCCGCGAGGGGTCCACAACCCGAGCCCTTGCCGCAGCCGCCGCAGCCATGCGCTGGGTCTGGGCGCTGCTGAAGAATGCGTCCCTGGCAGGGGCGCCCAAGTACATCGAGCACTTCAGCAAGTTCTCCCCGTCCCCGCTGTCTATGAAGCAGTTTCTGGACTTCGGTACGGAGTGGGCGGGAGGCGGCGGGCAGCGGAGGCCCGCGGGGCGTGGGAGGGGCAGTCGGCGGCTAGGGGGATGGAGGAGAAGGGAGGCCTCGAGTGACAGAGAAGGGTTGTTTGGAAGGGTACAGGCAGGAAAGGGTTAACGGGGAAGCAGGGACTGGCCGAGACCTCTCGACTGGGCTGTTGATGGGAATAGGGGGCACTCTCAAGGAGGGTCCCGAGGTTTCTTCCTGGGCTTCATGAGGGGTCTTGAAGAGTAAGGGGCAGTGAAGCTGTGATGTTACTGCAGGAAGGGAGTAGGGTGGTACCCAGACGCGGAAGGGTTAATGGGAGTTGTCCTTGATGACTGGAGGGGTAGGGGCCCCACCTCCCACCAGAGGAAACCGGGGGTCTGCCGTTGGGAGTGAGGAGGCGGAGTTCAGAGGTGCAGCCTTCTGTAAAGAGACCTGAACTGGGCATGCAGGGTCAGGCACCGCTGGGCAGAGGATGAGAGAAAGCCAGGGGCAGTTGGGGACAGGGGCTCTTTCAGAAGAAGACGCCAGTGAGAGAGAGCGCCCTGACTGGTAGACATCCACCCACGGGAGGAGCTGGACCCCAGCTGCCCCAGTGGGCAAGGACACTTGAAGATCAAATCTGTTCTGGCCTGGCAGTCTGTCCCCATTCAGACAGGGGCCCCAGGCACCGTGACGTGGATTCAAGCCACCTGTACCTCTCTTGGCTGCCCCCAGGGCTGCTAGGTCAGGATCGCCCACCACCAGCATTCTGGGGGTGGCCCTGGGGCAAGAGGGAGGCTGTGCCAACCTGGCAGCTGAAATGGGCAATGTGTGAGCCCTGTGTGTCTACGCGGTATTTCCATGGTGTCAGCTGGGGACTGGGGGTGGGGGGGAGTCTTGTAAGAGTTGAGTTGATAGTGCCTGGCTTGGGTTGCAGCTGCGTCAACAAGAGCAGAGAGGTGGAGGTGAGACATAGGGCACCTGTTCCTCATAGGGCACCTGTTCATCAGGATTCGTCTGCCTGCGCCCCTGCCCTGTCTGAGTCTTGAGCCTCCCCCATGTAGGAAAGCCTCTTGGGCCCACTTCTAGCCCCCAACAGCTGTCCCCACAAACTGTACCCTAATTACAGAAACGTCACAGCTGTGCGGGGCTCACAGTAGAGTTTGATCAACTTGTAGTACCATGGGGGAACGGAGACCTTCAAAAGGATGATGACATGCCCTGGGTGACAGAGTCAGAAGCAGAGCCTGGATGGACTGGAACCCTGGTCCCCTGACCCTGGGCCAAGGCCTTATTCTGTCCCCCACCCTTTCCATCTGGATGCCAGACAAGGGCCGAGGCATTTGGACTCCTGTTCTCAGGCCCCATTTGCCTCACAGATGGGCATTAAGACAAAGCAACCCCACGTGGGCATTCAGACCAGGCTGGGTGAGGTGGGCTGGCCAGAGACAACGTTGGGACCCTGCCGTGGTGGTCTAGCCATAGATCCCTCAGCCAGAATCCAGCTGTAGGTAGGGATAGGTTTTCCAGGCTCCTTTGCCCCCTGGGATCAGCCCCCAAAGTGAGGGGGAAGAGGAAAGAGAAGTGAGGTGACTGAGGCCAGAGGCAGCTCCTAATGGGCCCAGGAGTGGCCCTGTCCACCGTGGTTAAGGCAAGCAGGGTTCAGCTGGGGGTCAGGAGAACATGCTATCCCTTGCAGTGTCAGGCACGGGGTACAGATGTTTGAGCCCTGTGGGGGATGGGGAGCCTTGCTGTGTGCCTGTGGGCAGGTCACTTCCTCTCTGAACCCCTAGTAATGAAGGGTGTAGCTGACCTGGCCGAGACATCCTTTGACTTTCGTGGCTTGTGGCTCTGTGGCTCACCCCTCTTTCTCCTGCCAGGATCCAGCAATGCCTGTGAGAAAACCTCCTTCACCTTCCTCAGGCAGGAATTGCCTGTGCGCCTGGCTAACATCATGAAAGAGATCAACCTGCTTCCCGACCGGGTGCTCAGCACACCCTCCGTGCAGCTGGTGCAGAGCTGGTGAGACCCCTGCTCAGTCCCTGCACCTCCCTCCCCATCGCCAGTGTCCCTGGGCTCGGGGTGGAATCTCCAAGCTTCTAGCAGCCTTGAGGGTGGGGTGGGGACAGGCAGGAGACACCGAAGCCCCAAGAGGCTTGGAGTTGCCTAGGGTCCCATGGGAATCCGAGGCCACAGCAGGGACTGAGGTCAAGCTCCTAGTCTCCTCTGTGTCTAGCCCGCTTCTTATCACCCTCCTTTCTCTGGAAACCCAGGATCCACCTGGGAAAAAAGCATGGTTTTCACAGCCAAAACCCTAACTCAGGCTGATGTCAGCATTAGCCACCAGCCCAGTCCTGGAACTCCAGCAGCTGCTAGGGAATATTTATTTGGGATAACTTTTTGGGAAACAGAAACAAGAAGCAAGTTTTCAAATAAATTATATAACCCAAGCTGTGAGACAGACTGTTTTGGATGTTGGAAAATACTCAGATACACACAGGATGGTACAGTAACTTCCCAAAGAGCTTTGGAGGGGCAAAGACCAAAAGTTTATTGCGCATTGCAGCAGGAACAGAGGGAAAGGCTCATCAGAGTTCACTCAAGAACTCAAGTTAAGTAACTGGATAATGTTAGCCAAAGGCCAGTCACATGAAAAATAAACAAGGGTGTCCCCTGTCACTGGGGATGTAAATGGCTAACCCTCAGTGACTTCGGTAGCACCTGTGTGGAAATCTTCTGCTACTCCTTCTGGACTTGCAGTGTGATATGGCTGAGGTTTCCTTATAGATTCAGAAGCAGGTGCCCACATGTACTCTGGGCCCAAAGCCATGGGAAATCACAGCACCTGCCCTCAGGGAGCTTGTAATCTTGAAGGGCTCGCCTAGGCAGGGTGAACTGAGCACAGCATAGTGCTAGAAGCAGGGAGCTGCCCAAGAATTGTTTTATTTAAATTAAGAATCCAAACTTTTTTTTTTTTTTTTTTTTTGAGACAGAGTGTCGCTCTGTCGCCAGGCTGGAGTGCAATGGCACAAGCTTGGCTCACTGCAACCTCTGCCTCCTGGGTTCAAATGATTCTTCTGCCTCAGCCTCCTGGGTAGCTGCGATTACAGGCATGCACCACCATGCCCAGCAAATTTTTGTATTTTAGTAGAGACGGGGTTTCACCATGTTGGCCAGGATCATCTCGATCTCTTGACCTTGTGATCTGCCCACCTCGGCCTCCCAAAGTTCTGGGATTACAGGCGTGAGCCACTGCGCCTGGCCCAAACATTATTTTAAAAGAACATTAGGTATATTTCTTCCCTCATTGTGGAAGTATAACAGGTTCATTTGATACTTGGAAAATGCAAAATAGTAGATAGAAGAAAATGCCAGCCACTGCCCTCCACCTCCTAACCGAACCCAGTTCAGGTTTCATCAGATGTGTTGGTGCCTTTCCAGCATTGCGTTCTTTGCACAGAACTGTATATATGGGGTGTATTCTAATTAAATGAGATATAGTGAGGGGCAGTGCTCTACACACAGGGCCAGGGGTGTACTGGGTGCACAATGAATGCTGGTTGAATGACAAGTTGTGGGCCATTGCCAGGGACATGCAGAGGAGGTGACTTGTCACTGGACCTTACAGGGTACCAAGGCGAGCTCAGAACTAGAAGGAAGGGAAGTGCATTCAAGACTAAAGGAATACTTGGGCAAAGGTGTGGAGACAGGAAGGGGCCTGACTAGGGTGGCCGAAACTTACTTTCTGCAGATTGTGCTGTGAGTGTGGGCTGTGAAAAGGGGTGGAGTCACAGAGCCCGATATTCATGTAGCCCAACCAGGTCACCCCTTCCTGTGCCTAGCCTCTCAGAGGTCCAGGACCTCTGAGCCAACCAACACTTCCCACCGTGGGTGGTGTGGAGTGGTGGGAAGGAGACAGAAGGCGCCATCTGTTCTCCCTGGCCCTCCTCTGGCTCTTTCCGGCCGCCTGACCTGGCTGCCTCTCCACCTGCTCCCTGACTCCAGGATAGGACTTCTCAGACCCCTCCCTGGACACCGTGTTCCTGGGAGAGCTGAGGGATGCAGGAGGAGGGCACAGGGCTGCTGAGCTTCCCATGACTCCCACAGGGGCCCCCACAGAGTCCCTTCCTGAAAATCAGTGACACAGATAAGGGGTTGGCCTGACTTCTTCTTCCACAAAGCTTGCAAGTAATGCCAAGTACCAGTGGGAGGGAATGAAGTTAGACAAGAGAGATCACTTCCTCAATGAAAGATTCAGGTTAGAGGAGAGCAGGCCACGGGATTGCTAAAGTGTCCCAACATCCTGAAGAGATGGCCTGCCAAGAATGTTTCCAGAGGGAATGGGCATTGGCTGCAGCAAGAGAAACTGAAGTGTGAGGACAAGAAGGACTTCCCAACAGGGTTGAGGTGGCTGCCTGTGAGAGAGTGGAGATCTCTTTCTCCAGGAGAAACCGCCTGCCAGCTGGAATGATGGAGGTGGTAGAAGTGGGCAGGATCCAGGTACATGAGAGGAGGGAGAGATGTTACCAGGGAGCTTTGCAAGAGGGCTTTTAGCCTGAGTCTGATAAGTAAGGAGCAAACCCTCCTTTCTGGAAAACACAAGAGCCCTGGGCAGAAACAGTTACTAGCAGTCATGGTTCATATGTGGTCATAGAAATGGAGTTTCTACTCAGCTGGGGAGAGGTTGTAGGAGGAGTCACTGTGGGCAAGCTGAGACTGCCTGGTTATAAATAAACCTGATGCATTATTTCACCTGGGCAGACTTGCGATCGAGGGCCCTGTTTTGGTGGAGACTGGCCTGGGAGCGAAAGCTCCCAGTTTGGGCTCAGCATGTGTGACTTTGAAGCTTCATCCTGGGCAAGCCACGTGGCATCTCTGATCCTCAGCTTCCTCATCTGTAAAACGGGGACCCATTGTGTTTGTAAGGGTCAAAGGCCAGTGCTAGATGTGAAAAGCATGCAGAACTCTACCAACACAAGCCATGTCCCCAAGCCATGTCCCCAGGCCATGTTCCCAAGCTGCCGGCCAGCAGCACCTCCAGCCCACAGATGATGTCATTGTGGTGTGGTTTCTTAGGCAAGGTAGTAATAAATCATGATGGTAATAAAGGCAAACACCCCCAAAGGCTTGCTGTGTCCCAGAATCTGTCCTGAGTGTCTATGCGTATTAACTCATTCAATCTTTACAACCTTATGAGGTAGTCCTTGCTATCACCCCCATTTTCTAGATGAAAAATTGAGGTTCAGAGAGATAAACTTGTCTGAGATCACTCAGGAAGTAGGTGGTGGAGTTGGGATTGGAACCCAGCTGTTGGCTTTGGAGACTGGATTCTTGAAGGGAAAGGAGGGAGCCTGCACCTTGGGTGGCCATGTGGAGTCAGAGATTTAAGTTCACGGCGCAAGTCTGTGGGAGAGCAGAACTCACTTTACAAAATTGTGGACAGCCGGTGTTGCTGTAGACAGAAAGGGACAACCCCAGCTCCTCTCAAAAACACAGGGTTAAGCATGAGCCTCAGAGTAGAATCCGATGACAGTGAGTCACAGTGTCACTAACAGGGTCTTTGTGGGGGCTGCAGGTGGGAGGCGAATGGCCGCACTCTCCCACAAACCTCCCTTGCCTGTCAGCAAGGTATGCGGACCCCAAGCCCTGCCTGTGGGGAATCCTCACCCCCAACCTGTGGAGCCAGTCCTTGCCCTTGAGAAGAATAACCACAGAGGGTGTGGCTTGGGTGCCCAGGACCTGCTATGGCCAACCAAGCTCACGGAATCCGAATGAGTCAGCCGCTCCTTGCATGACCGGCGTAGAACCGAGCACTTACTGCACGTGTGCTCCAGGGAGCCTCTCCTTTTCTGTACACCCAGGCCCACAAGGTGCTTACTCCTGTGAACCCCATTTGCAGATGGAGACCTGAGGGGACTCGGTGGCCCCTTTAGGGTACAATCAACAGCAGAGCCCAAGCCTGCCTGGCTCAGAGACTCCGGGTGCAGGACACCATCACCTCTCCCCCAGTTGCAGCAAGCACCCCTCCTCCCCAGCCTTTGCCTTGCTCACACCCTGCTCCCCAGCAGCTGTGGATACCAGCGCATGGTGCACACACACCCACAGGCCTGCACATGCCACATGCACACTGACACACACAGCCCCCTGCTGGCTCAGCACCCCCTCTGCTCCCACACAGCCCTGCAGGGCCCTCCTCCCACACTCGCTTACCCACTCCTTCCACCCCCTCCGCCCATTCTCAGCCCCACACTCTGAGCAAGCCCCCTCACTTCTGCCTGCCTCCCCACTTCCTCCCTCCCAAGCCTGGGCTCTGGACTGGCTCCAGAGCCCTGGAAAGCAGGGTTTGGGTGGACTTCCATATTACCTTGGCCTGGGCTTGGGAGCTCCAGATCTCAAGGGAGTCCTGGGGCCTTGATTACTGCAGAGGTCAGCACGCCCAGAGACGCCAGCCTCCCCCAGTTCACGGGGAGGAGTGGGGCAATGCCTGTCCCACCCCTCAGTGCCTGCCTGCTGTTGCTCCACTGGTTTCAGCCTCCCTTCTAAGCCCAGTTCTCTCTCTGGCCTGCAAGGGGCGGGCAGTCCAGAGGCAGTGCTACTCAGCCCCAATCTCTCTTCTTAGGACCAACAACTGACCCAAGGGTGATATTTGGTGCCCCAGGCCCCTGAGGGGCTTCAGGGCAAGGCCAGGGCCCTCTAGGAAAATCCTCATCCTCTCCCCTCCATTCCAAGTGTACCCTGGGCCCCCTGCCCTGGAGAAACCCTGGCCCTGTGAGGAAGGCTGGCAGGCGCTGCCCGCGGCCACTCCATGCTGGTACCCTTTGCTCCACTTCAGTGGCCACGTGACCTGGCCCCATTTCTGTCCTCTAGGGTTGTTGAGCAGCCACAAAAGGGGCGGTGCCAGCTGCTGGGGCACTCTCCCGACTTGAGACTGGGACTTTGACCCTGCCCACCCCCACCCAACATACTCAGGAAGTGGCTGAGCATCCCAGCTCCCACCCACTCCATCCTCACCTGCCCCCTGGGTCTTGGGAAGGGGTCCCAGGCCCCACTCTGCAGTAGGTCTCTTCCCTTCCTCTCCCCACTTGCCCCTAGCCCTGCCTCCTCATGGGCTCTCTCTCCTCTAAGAATTGGATGAGCATGAAGGTCTATCCTGGGTCCGTTTAGGGAGCAAGGGATTTGGAGCCACATAGGCCTGGGAGAGAGAATTTCAGCTCTGCGTGTTAACGTCCTCATCTGTAAAATGGGTCCAGCAGTAGCACCCACCCCTAGAGTTCTTGTGGAGGTGAAAGTGAGGCAGGAGGGAGGCACAGGGTGGAGCCCTGGCCATTGGTACCCAGTAAATGCCACCGTCATCAGCAGCAGCAGCAGCATCACCATCAGGGCCAGTGTTGGCAGTTTTCCACGTGGTACAGACTTGGAGTCTGAGAGAGCTGGGTTTGAATCCTCGCCTGCTGCTGACTCTGCGGCCTGGGGCGTATCACCTGTCCTCTCAGTGCTGATCTCATTGTCTGCAAAAAGAGGGAGATACCTTATGCTCATCAAGGCTGTTGGCAGATGAGAGACGCTGTGCGGGAGTTGGCACAGGTGAGCGTTAGTGGTCAATTCGTTATTCTCCAGGGAGACAGGTGAGGTCTCAGGAGTGCCACCCTGTTGTCTGCTGGGGTGGCAGGGAGAGCGCTGGGGTCTGAGAGGAAGGCTGATCTTTTCTGCTGTCTGGGCCCCCAGCCCAATCGGCAGCCACAGCCCCTCCTATCTGGCTCTGTGCAGAGCCCTGGGTAGGGAGGGCGGTGGGGAGCTCTGGGCCTGAGCAGAAGCCCCATTCCTGTGGCAGGAGGCAGTTCCCCGGGGCAGAGGGGGCACAAACATGCTGTGGTTGACAGCCTACAAGCAGTGGGCGAGTGTCAGATGCCACCTGGTGGCTCAGAGGATGCACTCAGCTGTTAATGAGGTTTGAGCCACCAGCCATAATAAGAGCAAACATTTAGAGAGTGCTCACTACGTGCTAGGCACTGCGCTGATCATCACATGGAATCTTGCCACAGAGCAGTAATAGGTAAGTATAACAATCCCCATTTTCCCAACGAGCAAACTCAGGCACAGAGAGGTTCCATGACTTGCCCAGGGCCACACAGCTCCAAGTGCTTGAAGAGCCAGATCTGGACCCAGAGCTCGTTCTTTCACTTTCTCTATCAGGCAAAAGAGGGAAGAGCAGCTTCACTAGGTGTAAGGGGAAGGGCATTCCTGGCAGAGGGCACTGTGAAAGTCGAGCAGAATCAACACCCTGGAGTGGTAAGAGTGCTGGAGACTCGGGGGGCTTCATCATCCCACTTCCCAGCTGTGCAGCTGTTCTCGCCTCCGTGGGGAGGCTGTGCATGGGGCCGATTCCTGCCTGTCATACCTGTTACAGGTTACAGTGAAGATCAGAGCACTGTGGACATGGGAATGAGTCCTCGTGTGGTGGGGCTTTTTCTAGAAACACTGTTGGGTCCCCAGGGCCCTTACCACTGCCAGGCTCCAGGCAGCCCCCACTGCCTCCTGGTTATAGGTGTTTCTGCCAGAGAGAGGCTCAGCTCTTCCTGCCTCCCCCCGAGGAACAAGCCACAGACTGGGCATGTTAGCAGGGAAACGGGTCGTATCTTCCCAGGGCGTGGGGCACAGTGGCTCCAGCTTGGTACCGTCTGCCACCACAGGTGAGCCTGATTCCCTTGCAGAAGCTGGCCTGCTCCCATCTCTGAGTTCAGGGCTGCTGCTGCTTTTTTTTTTTTTTT